TGAGTAGCTAGGATTAGAGGTGTAAGCCACTTGTGCCTGCCCTAGCCTATCTTCTTACTGGTACCCTTTTGGATCCCATTATAGCCTTTCATACCTCCAGAGATCCCCTTCCTCTAAAGATCTGAGATGGATAAGTCTCTTCTATTGTCCTCAGGGCTGGCCTTGACTAGCTCCTTTTCTTTCCCTAAGGTTTGTCTCCTGAGAATCTGGTATTAGGTGGAGTGGTGAGTATTGGGGAGGGACCTTAGATTCCAGTAAGAGAGCTAAGGTTTCCTGACACTTCCCTTCTGCTCTGTGAGCTCCAGCAACTGTAGGTATCCAGACTCTTCTGGGTAATCCTTCTAGTTTTACCTCACCAAAAGCTCTCATGAGAGGCCAAGACTCTCTCTGGATCTCTGGAATGCTCTCTTTGTGCTAGTCTCTCGTATGGGTTTTGTTTAATGCATTTTAAACAAAATATAAACTCTGAGAAGGGTCCACACATCTCACTTGATGGCCAGAGGAAACTAACACACACACACACACACACACACACACACACACACACACACACACACACCCCATTCAGCAGCCCCGCCCAGACCCTCACTCTCTTCTCCTTGGTTGCATCTCTGTTGCTTCTCCATAGAGATATGCAGTTCTTCAGACTTTGGTAAAAGGTGCCTTAGAGTTTTAATCCCACAGCAAACCTGGTTATTAACCTTTGTGTTTCCTCCTCCAGGTCCTTCCTGGAAATCCTTCCCATCCCACTGCAGACTTTGCCCATTTTCCTCTTCTCCCTAATTAGGGTTTATGCTTCCTGAGCCTGGATTCCTTTGCCCTGCGCAGCAATCCCTGCACCCCAGCAGAGCGTGTTTGTTAATCCCCCGTGCAAAGTCACAACAGGTTGGAGGTCTCTGCCTGACAAAAGAACTGAAGGCTGGCCGGCTCCACTGGACGCTAGTCATGAATCCCACATTTGTGCCAGTTTTCCAAGTCTCCCCCAGCTCCTTTCGAGCAAAAAGAAACTACCTGGTTTGCTCAGTGGAGAGGTAGGATGGGAGTCGCTGGCTTGTGCAAGCAAGTCTGTGGGAGGGAGGCGGGAGGGGCCTAACGCGCAGCTCCCACATTGCTCTCAGGTCAGCTACTGTAGCCTGGAGCTTCAAGTCCACATCTGGCCTGCCCCAGGGGGAACAAAGCCATCCCCAGAGGCCCCGGAATCCAGGCTTGGGGATCCACAGGCTTTTTGTCATTCCACAAATGTATGAGACCCTCTGTATGTCAGTCCCTAGCAGGGCCCTGAGAATGGAAGGTATAGCAAACCAAACCTACACTTAGCTGCTCCCCACAGACCTCAGGCTCCATTGCCAGGGGAGAGAACGGGGCCAGGGAAGTCTGACTTCATGTTTCTTCAATTTGTGTGTGTGTGTGTGTGTGTGTGTGTGTGTGTGTGTGTGTGTGGTAAAATAGAGATAAATTCTGCTACATATAAAGTCTGTTCTATCAATATTCTAATCCCAGGTCTGGATAGTTCAGAAAAGATGGCTATAGGATCATCTTAGTTTCTGGCCTCTGTGATTTCCTTCCTTCCCTGCTTCCTTTCTTCCCTCCTTCCTTTCCTCTCCTTCCTTCCTTCCTCCTCTCCTTCCCTCCTTCCTTCCTTCATTCTTTCCTACCTTTCCTCCTTCCTTCCTTCTTCTAATTTTTTTTTTTTCTGGTTCTGGGGTTTGACCTCAGGACCTGAGCTCTGTCCCTTAGTTTCTTTGTGCTCAAGGCTAGCACTCTACCACTTGAGTCAGAGCACCATTTCCAGCTTTTTCTGAGTAGTTATTGAAGAGTCTCACAGATTTTTCTGCCTAGTCTGGGTTCAAACAGTGATCCTCAGATCTCAGCCTCCTAAGTAGCTCACAAGCATGAGCCAGCAGGGCCTAGCTCTTTGTTTTATTTTTAACTGACAAACAATGTTATATATGTGTGTTACATTATAGGATGTACCATACATTATATGCTCTATGGTAATCATTATATGAATACATGAGAGAATATAAAATATATATTCTATCCATTAAAGAAGGATCAGTGGTTGACATCTCAAGTATTTATCATTTTTCTAGTAAGAAGATTTTAAAATCCTGTCTCGTAGTTATTTTCAAATCGATTATGCACTATTATTAAGGACATATCACCTTGCTGTGCAACAGAATCCCAAAACTTACACTCAATCTTACTGAAACTTTTCATCAAGTTATGGGGTCTAGGCCAGGTGCCATAATCCTAGCTACTCAGGAGGGGGAAGTGGGAAGGGTCCTGGTTCCAGGTTAGCCCTGGTAGGAAAGTCAGTGATACTCCTCTCATCCCGGCAACTACAGGAAGCCTAAAATAGGCGGACATGGTCCACAGGAAATAAGACCCTATTTCAAAAATAATAGGACTGGAAGACTCTTGGATCTCTCTTATTTCCTCTGTGTGTGTTTTTCAGTTGTGGGGCTTGAAGTCTGGGCCTAGGCACTGTCCCTCAGCCCTTCAACTCAAGGCTAGTCCCTCAGCCCTTCAACTCAAGGCTAGTGCTCCACCACTTGAGCCATAGTACCACTTCCAGCTTTTTCTGCTTATGGGGTGCTAAGGAATCAAACCCAGGGCCTCATGCATGCAAGACAAAGACTCTACCACTGAGCCACCTTCCCAGCCCTCCTTTGTGTGTCTTGTTTTTGTTCTTGTCTGCCCTTTGCTCCACGTCACCATCTGCCTGTGCTTACCCATTGGGATCTTTCATTGCTGGGTCTGCAGCAATGAAACCAGGTATCTGGTCCTTGGGTCTTCTTAGGACTCAGGCCAAATGAATCCTCACGTTCTTCCTGCTCTGCCCTACTAGGCAGTAACTGAAAACAAAGATCTTGACCAAGACCAACAAAGTCTAATCAGACTCCAGGGACCATCTATGCTCTGTGAATATCCTCCTGGTCATCTGACACACAAGAATATAAAGCAAGTGTATCGTGGGACTTTTTAAATAGATATGAACCTGTATCATTTCACCATCCCAAACAGTACTGAAGGAGCAGAGAGAGAAGATAAACAGACACTGGCTCAGTAATTCTACCTTCTAGTTGTGGGACTGGGCAAAATACTTGGCTTTCCTGACCTCAGATTCCTTATCTGAAAAATAGAGATAATGACACTCACTACCTTGTACCATTGACAGTTCAGTTGCCTGCCACAGAGTGAAGTCTCCACTGGAGCCAGTGATCCTCATTGTCCTTGTCATCAGCGTCATCAGCATCACCGCTTCATCGTCATCTTTTCATGTTCCAATGTGCCCTCTTCGTGCCTGGATGGCCTCGTAGCCTCTATTTGTGACCCAAAAGGGTTAACACCCTGGAAAGTTCCTTCTAATTCCTGGGAGAATGCAGCTCGGAGAGCTGGATCAAATGACACCAGGATTTTTCTTTCCAAGCCAGTGGTTAGGGGCTCAGCTTGCCCCACCTGCTACAGAAGGGGTAAAGGGGTGGGAACAGGTCAAGGAAGAGCCTGGTGGAACTGGATTTTCTTTCCCAAGGCTTTAGCTCAGTTTGTCTTCTAGTCTTTTGTTCTCCCCCAACAAAGTGAGAGAAAGACTTGTAAATGTGGCTGCTTGAAAACCCAGCACAGTAACTCTCACCTGCAGAGGGCACAGTGCGCCCTTCCCCCAACCCCTGTGCTCTAGCACTGGCTGAAGCAATGAGTGAGATGAGTTGAGTGGGTGAGCAGAATGAATGCAAGGTCTCTTCTGAGTTTAGACAATCATCCCATTCTCCTCCTTCCCTCTTCCTGGTCTCTTCCTGCTCCACCAGCCTTTCCTCATTTTCAGCTGAGGCTAGGTAAGGACTTGACTTCTGTTCATCATTGGCTATCTGCCCTGGGCCTGGAAAACATCTATTCAAAATAAATAATTGGTGTCCATGCTGCTATAGGATTGAGCCAGAGAAATCATACTGAAGAGATGTTAGGTAACTGAATATGCGCAGTTCTACCTAGGACTATGCATGATTCAATCTCTCTTTAAAAAAATTTTTTTGTGTTGGTTGTGAGGCTTGAACTCAGGGTTTGGGTGCTGTCCCTAAGCTCTTTAGCTCAAGGCTAGTGCTTTACCACTTCCAGCCACAGCACCACTTCTGGTTCTCTGGTGGTTAACTGGAGGTATGAGTTTCATGAACTTTCCTGCCTGTGCTGGTTTTGAACTGTGATCCTCAGATCTCAGCCTCCTGAGTAGCTAGGATTACAAGCCTGAGCCACCAGCACTCAGCTTATATGGGTCAACCTCTATCCATTGAACATGTTAAAGAATGCATCTAGGGAAGGATAAGGCCTTCTCTCAGATGGAAATTTAAGGTAGATAACAGAGGGCTCTTACACATCTACTAAACTACCTTTATTAAGGACGCAGGCCTGGGGCCTAAGAGAGTATTCAGGAAGATCTGTCACAAAATACATCAGGCTGGCTTCTTCTAATGCCAGGGGTTTTCCCTCCCTCCCTCCCTCCCTTCCATCTTTCTTTCCTCCTTCCCTCCCTCCCTCTCTCTCTCTTTCTTTCTTTCTTCCTTTATTTCTTCCTGAAATAGGAAAAACAGAAAAATCTCAGTAGGCAAGCAGTCAGAATAGTGGACAGTGCTTAAGTTCTAGAAAGCTCTGGCTTAACTAGCTTCCTGGATGTCAAATAACAAACGTGCTTTGGGGAGTGTATTAAGTTGCTCTCCCTGTTTCTTAGTAGCTGCTCTAGATCTGAATTATGTAATTCTTGATTGATATGTGAAGGACTTTCTGACCTCTGTCTGCCTCTTTATAACATCTGACCCATCTTATGCATGCTCAGGGCTAGGTGGCTTATTGTGTCTGGAAGCATCCACTGTCCTTTGAAAGAAAAAACAAATAGCCAAATTAAGATGCCTACTTAGCATTTAGGCAGGAATAATATTAGATACAAAGCTTAATCCTTTCTATATAAAATGACTGCAATGATTTTTTTTAAGTGTATTTCTTGTTGTTTTCAAAATATTCTCACATTCATGTTCTTAGTTCATCTTTAAGGTCAGGTACCCAGGAATTATAACTTCTTTTTAAATGATGGGGGGAGGGAATCTATAGCTCAGTGATAAAATACCTGCCTAGCATGCTGGATGCTTTGGATTTAATCTCCAACATAAATAAATGATAATAAATAAATATAATAATAAATATTTATAGTAATCATAAACACACAATACAATAATAAGTATTATTGTCATTTAGGGAAAAGAGAATTGAACTCTATAAAGGATTTGTCTGAGAGAAATAACAAAGGAAAACAAATGGGAGTCTCCAGATTTCATGCACCTAATTTGTTCTTCTTCCTCTTCTTCACTGAATAAAAAAGAATCTAAACACAGAAATAGAATTCCATTACAACAAAAAAAAAGTGTACTAAAAAGACAATGTAGAATTTTTTTTTTTTTGCCAAGTGTAATAGCATATCATATACCTGTAATCTCAGCACTTGGAAAGCTGAAATGGAAGGATTCAGAGTTCAAAGCCAGCCTGGGTTATACAATGTAGACCTTGTCTTAGGGGAAACAAATGAAGACACTTTTGCTATGTCATAAGTGATGTGATTGTACAAATCACCTGGGAACCGGGCAAGCCTGTAATCCTAGCCTCTCAGGAGGCTGAGATCTGAGGATCGTGGTTCAAAGCCAGCCTGGGCAGGAAAGTCTATGTGTGAGACTCTTATCTCCAATAAATGATTCAGAAAAAAAAAAGCCAGAAATGGTGCTGTAGCTCAAGGGGTAGAGTGTTAGCCTTAAGAACAGAGAGGCTCAGGGACAGAGCCCAGGTCCTGAGTTCAAGTCCCAGGACCAACAATTAAAAAAAAAATCACCTGGGAAGGAAGAGCTTTGGTTCTCATGCCCAGAAACTCACAATGAATAAGACTGGGCAGGTACACAGCAATCTATATGCTTAATGGGTTCTGCCAAGTGATCTCAGGAAGATTCCTCGCACTGGTTGGAGAGAGTTGAATTGTAAGATTTTTTTTGTTTTCCGTTTTGGAATGACTCAGGCCAGGTAAAAAATGCTTAGTCTCCTCTTCCCCTCCATCTTCAGTGTAACACAGCTATCTCTAAAAAGGAAAGTTAGAGACTTTCTCAGCAACTCCAGGGCAGGATATATCCCCAAGCTCTAACAAATCTAACCTTGAACCTCATTGTGTTGGATTGTGCAAATAGCAAAGGAGTGAACAAGAGACACACAGCCTGGACTCCCCACTGGAGAAAAGCTTACAAACATACTCTTAAGAATTCCACCTTGGGGCTGGGAAGGTGGCTCAGTGGTAGAGTGCTTGCCTTGCATGCCTGAGGCCCTGGGTTCGATTCCTCAGCACCACATAAGCAAAAAGAAAAAAAGCCGGAAGTGGCACTGTGGCTCAAGTGGTAGAGCGCTAGCCTTGAGCTGAAGAGCTGAGGGACAGCACCCAGGCCCAGAGTTCAGGCCCCACGACCGGACCCAAAAAAAAAAAAAAGAATTCCACCTTGACCAACTAAACTTTCAGAGTGAAGATTGAAATATTGAGACTTTTCCTGAGCAGATGGCTGTCTGAATTCTTGCATGTTTGGCTGTAAATTCTTTGGCCCAGATGTCTATTTTCAGCAGGCAGTTGTGAACTCTTGCAAGTTTAAGCTGTTGTATGATATACATTACTAATTTACTAGATCAATTACCAAAGGGTTCAGTGGTCAGTCAAGAGAAATATGAAAATTCCACTCTGACTCAAGCCAGAAATTTTTACAGGAATCATTCCTAAGAGCCTGAGAAATTCTGTGGTTCTACTTTTACTGATTCAAACTGCCTTCTCAGTTACCCAGGGAGGACGGTCCACCCAATCAGCATGCTGTTCCAACTCTGTCAAACAGTTACTTTAAATCATCATTACTATGCCCTTAGTTGTGGTTTTAATGTACTTACAGTGGCAGCTATATGGCTAAAAACAGGCCCTGCTTTGGCAGGGTAGAGTGGTAATTCTCAACCATGGTTAATATCAAAATCACCAAGGAGCCTTTAGGACACGTCTGGGTGTGTTTATTTGCCCCTACTTTTTTTTTTAAGTTTTCTGGGAGTGTCCTTTATAATTTTCCTCAGCCAGACCTACTATTTTTGTGAAGGTCTCTCATGTTCTGGGGGCTTTGGCTATAATACATGTAATCCTTCCAACAGCTCTGTAGGGCAGGAATTCTTTTGTACACATTACAAATAAGGCAAGTGAGGCCCAAAAGAGTTTACAAAAATTGTCCTAAGTTACCAAGTCCAACACTATGCACTTTCTACATGAAAATCCATCATTACTTAAGATGGATCACTCAGGGTTCAGCAAGATGAATTACTTTGCACAGTAGAATAGCAGAAACACCTGTGGATATTTTTCTTTCTGAGAAAAAGTCCTGCTCCTTCCTTCTCTTTCTTATCCTTTGGGTCTCAGGATAGCATTTCCATAAGGGTACTTGCCTTGTGCCTTTAATTCTAGCCAGCAGCCCCCATTTTGTGCTTCTAAATCTACTCTGCACTGGACTTTACATTATATTGTAATGGTTTATTGACTTTTTTTTGTCTCTATGCCTATGTTCTCCCAGATCTAGTTGAGTAACTAGCTTAGTAAATCTTTGGTAAATAAATAGATGAGTGGACAGATAGGTGGATGGATGAACAAGTGAGTAGATATATTGATGGATAGATCAATGGGTGTATAGATGAGTGAATGACTGGGTGGGTGGGTGGGTAGGTGGGTAGATGGATGGGATAGATAGATGGGTAGGTGTAGATGGATGGGTGCATGGATGGGTGGATGCATGAGTGAACGGTGTTTGAGTGGATGGATGGATGGGTGAGTGCATGGATGGATGAATGAGTGCATGAATAGTTGATTGCATGGATGGGTAGATGGATGGATAGAAGGGTAGGTGAGTGGGTAGATGAATGGGTGAATGGGTGGTTGAATGGATGGATAGATGAGTAAGTAAATGGATGGATGTATTGGTGGATGGGTGGGTAGATGAACGGATGGGTGAATAAGTAGGTGGATAGGTAGGTGGACAGATGGGTGGATGTATAGATGGATAGGTAGGGTTGGATGGATAGGTGCATGAATGAATGAATGGATGCATAAGTAAATGGGTGGTTGAGTGTATGGATGAATGGACAGATAGATGGATAACAGAAGGGATGGTTGAGTGGATGTAATCAATTTGTAAACTACCAGTAGCAGCAAGAGATCAAAAATAAAGATATGACAGCTTTTGAAAATTTTAGAATAGAGGAACCATTTTTTTTGTTGTTTGAAACCTGTGGAATCTTTTTAGTAAAGGAAGATTCCCAACACACATGATTCAGAATGCAAACATTAGACCAAGTCTGATGTTCCCAAGGAAATATTCAGGCAATGAATGAAGGAACCAATAGCACTTCCCCCTGCGCGATAACAATGCTCTGATGGCTTCATACCGTCCTTTTCCTCTAAAGAGCTGAAGTCACTCAGCAGAGGATATGGTTGGTTACTTCCATTTCAAAGAACTTTCTCAACTCTCCAGTTCTTCCAAGTTTCTGAGAGGAAAGAAGGCAGAAGGGAGAATAAAGAACATCTGTTTGGTGAATTTGGAGGTGTTCACACCCTATTGCTCCACAGTGGTTAATATAAAGAGAAAGGGTTTTGAAATATGGCAGGTCTTCAAGAGTAACAAAGGATATCTCAGGAAACAAAGTGAACCAACAAGAGCATGATACAACCAGGAAGAGTATAAATAGGTCTGGATGTTAGAGAAGGAAGCTCCTCCTTGCAGGCGTTGCTCTAGGACTAGGACAGCTTGTCTAAAAAAAAGTCACCTCATAAAACAATGGGCAGGTCTTCAAGAGTAACAAAAGGCAGATTGAAAAAATCCCAAACACAGTGCAATCTTGCCAGGTTCATGCATGTGCACAGGCAAACACACCCTAACTCAATAACCATCTTCATTTCCCTGCCCCCATCCATCCTTCATCCTCCATAGTGCAGAGTCTGATGTAAGATGAAGCCCATTTTAAGGATCAGAGCAAGTACCACACCCCCCCCCCCAACCAGAGCATTTTTCCCTCATTATCACCTCATTAAGGTACCACTAAGGTCCTTCCTCTTTATATGACAATATCATGCAAAGAACTGGTCCCTTAAGGCTTTGATGAAGCATGACTGATATTTAAGACCAACCATTCAAGAGCATTTGATGGTGGTTGTGTTTATTCAGAATGGCACTTTTATGTGAGGTCATAAAGTGGTGAATTTCCTATACAAAGCTGTGAGTGTGTGAGCTGGGGCAGGTGGCCTGTGGAGGTCTAAGGTAGTGCAGGGCAGTATTGCTTATGGTTCCTGAGTCACCTGGCTGACAACTGCTGAGCTTGGATTGGGAATTCCACAGCTGGGCTCTGGTATGGGTTCCTCTCATGGAAAAAAGGAGAAAGTGATGGCTGTGAGAAAAGGGAATCAGAGAAAAGCAAGCTATCTCTCACAGATAGTAGCCACACAACTTTTGGCTACCTAGTTCTGAGAAAAGGAAGCCATTGATAAGTGAATTTAACCTTTGACATTCCAAACACAGGGTTACTTAGAAGATGAGGCCAAAGTGGTGGTGAAAATATGCCCATCCACAGAACGATATGCTTTCCCTTGTCTCCAAATTCTGGTCACAACCTTAAACTCATCTTCTGTTTGGGCCCAGGAAAGGAAGTGAAAGAAAAATGGCCATTCCAAGGTGAGTGAATGAATGTATAGCTCAAGGCTTGTCAGCTCAGCCCATGTTTAGCTGTGGGTAGCTAGAGACTTATAAACATAAGTACAAGCAGGATTGATCTCCCATCAAATCAGATTGTATTTCCTATATGTCCTTCTTCTTGGAAATAATTTTATTGACATATAATTTACCGACTCTAAAATTCAGTCATTTGAAGTGAACGATTTAATTGTATATTGCCATTAATTTCAAAATTTTGTTTCAATCTCTTATTAGGAGTTTCAATACAC